GCGGCGGCGGCGGCGACGGCGGCAGCGGCGGCGGCGGCAGCGGCGGTGGCGGCGGCGGTGGCGCTTGGCAGGTCTCCGCGCAATTTTCTCTCTCCCCCACCACCCACCCCCCTTCTCCTCCTCCTGCAAATGCACCGCCCCCCTCCTTTCTCCTGGAGCAATGCAACTGGGGCTCTAGGCGCCCCGCCAGGGCCAGTCCTAGGAAAAGCTCACGGCCGCGCTGGAGCTGGGCTGGAGGGTGCAGGGCCGGTTTTAGGGGGTACTCGGAGGGTTCTCACTAGCTGGGCGCTTTGCGGTGGGCGGGGACGTGCTGGGGGCTCGTTTCTCGGTGCAGTTCGGTGCAAAGGATTTCTCCATGTGCCCGGAGCTTTTTACCCGGGCGCGTCTCGCTTTCCTCTCTCCCGGGCTCGTTCTAACTCCCCTCCCCCAGCACGCGCACACACACACACACACACACACACACACACACCCACCCCACTACCACCACCACCCCGCCCTCGCCCTCCCCCTCCCCCTCACACACACACACATTTTGCGCTGGGGGAGTCAGGGAGCCGCAGTGTTGCGCAGCGTGATGTAATTCCTAGGAAGCACTCCTGCCCGTCACGAGGGGGGTCCGCTCCTCACCCTCCTCCTCCTCCTTGGCCGGGTCCTGCACCCTGAGTGGCCGAACTGTAGGGGCGCGTCCTGCTCGCCTGCAGCTCCCCGAACACGCCGGGCTCAGCGCGGCCGCCGCTCGGCTCCCTGGGGGCGGCGCGCCCTCTGCTGGCCTGGGGCAAGTCCTGCACCTGGCGCTGGCGGGGGCGGCCCTGCGAGGTGGGTTTGCGGGCTATGCATCTGACCAGCTCAGTTTCTGCTTCTGTGTCCGCGTCAGTGCGTGCGTGTCTATCCCGGTGCCGGCTGTTCTCTCAAAGCTCGCCAGGCCCTCAGTGTAAACCACCTTCCTGAGATTACTCCCCGAGCCCCTCAAATGTCACATGAATAGTGCTGCACTAAATCGGCCTCAATGGGCAAGAGTGCAGACCAGAAACTTCAAAGGTGAACTGGTAGTAAGGGGACCTGAGTCCTGGCTAGGCTCCAGCCTGATGTAACTATGCAACTCTTAGACAAGTCACTTTTGTGGCATCATATCCCTTTCTTTCTGCATTAGTGACAACTACATTACTCTCATCGTCCTGCCTTTCTGTGATTCTAAATAAACCTTGCATGATGCTTTGCCCTTCTAGAAGCAGTTTCTCTCACGGGAGACGGATATTCGAGTGACACTTCTGGTTAATTTTCCCTTGGATGAAGAACAGAATCCAAGCTTCAAAACTCAAACTCATTTTCCTTTGTGGTGGATGTGATTGGAGTCTGGAAAAAGCTGGAGAAGAGAGATTAGGAATGAATGACTCAAGTATTCACCAGCATTCCATGGAGTGGAGTTAGGAGGTCTCCTTGTGACAGTGTAAAACACTCTACTTTCTCTCCCCAAGGATCTAGTTTTTCCTCTCAACCTGTGCTGTCCTCCACCCTCCAGAAGTTTGTCATCTGTCTACGAAAGAAAACACATTGTTTCACAGTCTTTTTGCAAAACCTCAGCCGTTGGGAAGTTTGGCCAGTTTCAGCTGAAAACATTCTCTTAAACTTTCAAGTCTAGACAATATCTAGAATTAGACTCTTAAAGGTACTGCCTAAAAGGAAATCTCGCTTTGATGGAAATAAGAACAGCTCATTGGTTGTCTGAGTGGAGTTGATTCTGAAATCATGTGTGACTGCAACCTGGAGCGTAGTAGGCTCTTAAACAATGCTCCTTTCTGTTTGATGTGCTTTAGGGGGCTGGCACTAGTTTGTTTTCTTAGGAAGATTAAATGTTCCAGAGCAATTTTGTCACTGCTGTGAATTAACTAAAGAAAATAATTTTTCAGTAACGAGTTCAAAGGCTAACTCCTAGCCCAGCCCTCCCGAGATGGTAGGTTCCAATTAGGGATGTTTTATTGTGCTGTTCTCTGTACCATCAGTCTCCTCTCTCCTCCTGCAAATCACCTATTTTTGTTTGAAAACCAACCCAGATCATTCAGCCTTTTATTTAGGTTGGCTAGATTGGACTGAACAGAAAAAAAAAGTCCCTTGGGGATGAAAAACAAACCATGTTAGACAATAATTTGGGTAACCTGTTTATAGACTGTCCATGGGGTGAAGACCAGGGAAAGAAACACAAAGGAGAAAGAACTCGCCGTCGATCACCACCCTCCATGACTGTTGTAGTCTAGTTAAGGGGGATATGACAAGCACATGAAAAAAAACATTTAAAAAGCGTGGGGAAAAAATCTATTCCCTTAACAGTGTAGACTAGTATTTCACAACCTTTGAAGAACCCATGCCCACCTTTGAGAAATATTACAGTTCCATGCTATGCTCTGAATGCTGTTCAAAATTTTATAATACATTATGATGACCCCCCCCCAAGTCAAAACAATTATAATATAAGCGATATCATTTTCATGCTGCACTTGTCCTTCTTCACTGTGGGGTTCTGAAATGGCCCACTTGGGGAGCTTACAGTCGGTCCCCCACTCTATGCCCGTTATACTTAGCTACTGGGTGAATTTGGGGATGCTGTTTGCAGAGACTAAGTAATACTAATATTACTAATACTAATAGTAATACTAATGCTTCTGCGGCTCTATTGAAGAGGGAGCTTGACAAGCAGGTAGAGCTGAGCTTCAGCTGGGCTTAATGAAGAAAAGGATATATTATCTGAGTAGCGAGAGTAGGAGATTGATAATTTGAGTCTGCATGCAGCTCAGCCACTCAGGGTGCAGGTCCCAGCCAAGGAGGAGGATGAGGGTAAGAAGCAGACACTCCTGCCCCCCCCCCCAGTTGGGCACACTGTATCAAGGATACAAGGATCTGGATACAGAAGATCTGGATGGAGGAGGAAATATCACAAACAGGGAAAGTCAACACAAAGACAACCTCTGGATCCGGTGGCTCTCAGTGGGAATTCTGGCCCTGCCACTCACCAGCTGGGTTACCTGCGTAGCATCTTCACTCCAAACTTCCATTTCCTCATCTGTCAAATGGGATTGACACACACCTCTCAGAATTGTGCTCTATAAAGGAGGAGGTAGGGGATGTTTAGCTCAGCACAGCACCCGGAGCAGAGTGTATAGTGGGCAATAGTCTTTCAACAAATGTTAGTTCTTCAGGGGACCCCACTGCCCTCAACAGGCCAACCATCTCAGGTATGGGCCAGAGAGGCTTGAAGGGGCTGGGATGCTGTTGAAATCAACTGCAACACCTCTGGGCCTGCTTTCTGTCCACTCAGCATGTGCAACTGAGCTAGCTATTCCCCACCTCTGCTGGCCCTCTAGTTTGGGGGAGGGGCACTGGCATTTCTTGGGGACTCAACAGCCGACCCATTTCAATGCTTCTGCGGCTCTATTGAAGAGGGAGCTTGACAAGCAGGACAAAGAGGGTTGTATTTCTTCAAAAGGAAGCTGTGGGGTGGGAGATGGGCCAAGGGAAGGATGGCGATCAGCTCAGCTTTCTGATCAGGCCCTCACGGTGGGGGGTGTTTGGACTTTCGTGGAGATGGGCTAGGGCCTTGGGCCTTGGCAGCCTGTGTAGGGAGAGTCTAGTGAACCAGGTGAGCGTAGGTCCATTCTTGGCTGTCCTTATCCCAGGATTTCTGTCCCTATCCCTGCAAATGCTCCGGGCCAGGGAAATTGAAACCCTCCTCTGAACAACTGCTTCGGTAACTCCGGGTCAAGGCAAGAGGACCCAGGGTGCTTTTATGGGTCGTTTCTTATTTCCAGCTGATTCTAAGAACAATTCAACAATCTTCCTGCTTTTTTGGTCCTGGAAACATAAACTTGAGGCAGCCTGGGTGATGTACAAAGGACATGAGGCGGGATGTTGGAAACCTGCAACCTACCGGCTGTGTGACCTCGGGCAAGTCAGCTTACCTCTCTGGTGCTCCCCGGACACAGAGAAGACATGATAGCCGCCATCTTTTAGGCCTGGCATCATCCCAGGCATATGAAAATCATCCCCCTCTGATTATGACTGTCTCTCGGGTCTCATAAAGTTGAATTTGATGGGCTTTTTCTTACTGAGACCCAAAGTAGCGCTTGTTGAACCTGACCCAACTTAGCAAAGTGAGGAAAAGTCCGCCACGAGGCTTGGCACTTTCCTGGGTGGTGGAAGAATGAGAGAGTGGAGAGGACTTCTGAGGCCAGACGGAGGGTGATGGATGCCCCGTGGCCTGCCGGGGACCAGCTTCACAACACTTCCAGTTTTGTGTGTGTCCTGTTGGTGACGGGATTCTAGCTCACACAGTGAAGTTCCGACCAGCATAGGCATTTGAGGGGTGCGGGTGCAGAAAGGAGGAGAGAAAGGAGGGAGAGGGAAGGCCAGTAACTCCCAACCTTAGGCTGGGGTGGGAAAATGGGGAAAGAAATGTGAAATGCATTTCCAGGAACAGAGACAAAGCTAAAGGCCAAGAGGAGGAAAGGCGCTGGTTGCAGCCGGGCAGCCCAGCCCCGTCCCTTCCCCAGCCGGGCTCCCGCTCCGCCTGCGGCCCCCTCCCCACCTGGCTCCACGCTGGGGAAGGGGAGCCGACTCTGGAGCCCGGTGGCTCATTCATCTCCTGATAAACTGTTTATCTGAGTTTTAACGAGGGCGCCTCTCTTCCAGCCCTGGAGACAGGAGCCTCCTCATGTTTAGCCTGCCCTGATGTGGGGGGCCCAGGCGGGTGTGGGGGCGACGCCAGCAGGCCTGGCGTCTGCCCTTTTGGAGCCTGCACACCCTGCCTCTGCGCTGGGCCC